CCGAAACGTCGCCAAGATACTCTTAATCTTACATGGGAAAAGACCCAAACACACCTAGACCTACATACCTGTACCCATGAAAATCTACATATACACACACACACACACACACAGAGTATATCTCCCATGTGACTGAATTGTTACTGGCACACTAAGAATGGAGCTGTTTAATGACTCTGGCATATACCCTGAGTCTGCTAGACTGTGACATGTGTGGCAGGGCTTACATTGAAAGCCTTTTCTGAAATGGCACCTGTCTTTTGGAATGTCATCTCCCGGAGGCCCCATTTGTACTGGCTGTCATAAGTCCTTTAAGACATGGCTATGTCACTGGGCTTATGATCTGGGTTTGCAGCAGAGCCTGCACAATTACTGTGTTGAATGTTGCTGACTGTTTTTGTATCTCCACTACTGTTATACAGGTAGTCTTCAACTTATGACCACAATTGAGCCCGAAATTTATGTTGCTAAATGAGAAATTTGTTAAGTGAGCTTTGCCCCATTTTATGACTTTTCTTGCCACATTGGTTAAGTGAATTATTACAGTTATTAAATTAGTAACATGGCTGTTCAGTGGATATGGTTTTCCATTGACTTTGCATCATATGACCTCATGACACTGTAACCGTCATAAATATGAGTCAGTTGCCAAGCACCTGAACTTCAATCATGTAACCATGTGGATGCAACAATGATCATAAGTGTGAAAAATGGTCATTAGCCACTTTTTTCAGTACCGTTGTAACCTCAAGTGAACTGTTGTAAGTTGAAGATCGCCTGTAGAGTGTTAATATGATTTTATATGTTTTTAGACTGCATTCTCTTTTAAACTCTTTTTAAATCATTATAAATTCTTCAGAGTCTTGTATGCAAGATGGAAGGTTATATAAATCAAATCAACCAATCAAATAAAGAACAAGAACTGGCCAAATTTGCTCAGTTCCTCTGCTTACTGCACGGCACTTCTGTTGTTGCTCTACAATTTGAGCTAGAAGTTGGGTAATCTCCTCCTGTTGCCGGATTGAATCCTCTGTCTTGAGAGCCAGCTCCTCGGAAATCAGGAGAACTTGCTGGCTGCTATCAGCTAAAGGAGAGGAGATAAGGCTATTATTATTATTTGGAATACAGAACAGCTTCTGAAATACTCAACAACATTCTGCATTGCATAGCAATAGGTAACATTTACTTTCTTCTGTCCTACATTTTATGCTCTACCTCCATCCCCTTTCAAGCATCCAGATTATTGAGAATACACCGATTGAGTTCATTTTCACTTGCCTAATGGTTAATACTATGCTATATGTGCATGTATTATTACACTGGGGAAAATGCTTCAAATACAAAGGAGGCAATTGGCATTTGTGCTGAAATTGAATCCTTTTATTAAGCATATAAAGTTGTCTCCAATGTAGCCGCAGTTAAATTCAGACAATGGGATTATATTAACAATTATATTGCATGGGTTTGCTTAATTTCTATGTTAAGTCCAGCAAGATCAGATAGGTACAATAATCTGCTGAGGCGTATGTGCATTTATGCTGACACACATATCATCAGTAGGGAGATACAGTTGTAGATAATTTTACTGTTATTGACATCAGGCATAACCAAAACTGTTCATGGATTGGCTTGTGTCAACTTTTCCCAACCTAACTGCTACCAAACATAGTTGGATTAATACAATGAATATCCCTTGGCAGGGTAGCCACCTGCAAACAAGATGGGAATGTGTAGAAGAATTAATCAATTGGGAGCATTTGAAAGATAAATGAAATAATTATTACACTTCAAAGCACTGCTGAGCCTCAGGAGATAGGTAGAACATAAAGTCAATTCATTTCATCTTATATTGTATCCTTTATACCACAAAATGAAGAACTTTAAAGTTATTGAGAGATTCCTCCTATTTTCCCTCCCACATCAACGTTTTTTTTTCTCTCTCTCTAAGAAAAAAAACTTACAAAATTGTTCCACACAATCAAGCATGAGCTTCTGTTCCTGTTCCTCATATTGATTTGTTTCTGTGGCAATGTTTGTAACCTGAGAAAGACAAAAATTAACCATTTGGTACAATATTTGTACAATATTGGTACAATATTTGTAGAAAATAAAATCCAATCCTTTATTACAGCCATAAAGCCAGAAAACAGTGATATAAAATCTAAGAAATAAGTATAAATATGCATATATGTCAATTAACATGTAGTAAATATAAGATCTGTAATAAGGAATTAGAATGGAATATAAAAGTAGAGGGATAAAAATACAATAATGAATAAAACAACATAAAATGCATGTAAGGAAATGAAAATGAGAATCTTTAACTACAAGTAAGATAAATAGCACATATAGACAAGAACACAAAACAACCTGGAATGAAATACACTGCTCAAAAAAATAAAGGGAACACAAAAATAAGTCATCCTAGATCTGAATGAATGAAATATTCTTATTAAATACTTTGTTCATTACATAGTTGAATGTGCTGACAACAAAATCACACAAAAAATCAAATTTAGCAACCCATAGAGGTCTGGATTTGGAGTTACACTCAAAATTAAAGTGGAAAAAAATACTACAGGCTGATCCAACTTTGATGTAATGTCCTTAAAACAAGTCAAAATGAGGCTCAGTAGTGTGTGTGTGGCCTCCACGTGCCTGTATAACCTCCCTACAATGCCTGGGCATGCTCCTGATGAGGTGGAGGATGGTTTCCTGAGGAATCTCCTCCCACACCTGGACTAAAGCATCCCCCAGCTCCTGGACAGTCTGTAGTGCAACATGGCGTTGGTGGATGGAGCGAGATATGATGTCCCAGATGTGCTCAATTGGATTCAGGTCTGGGGAACGGGAGGGACAGTCCATAGCATCAATGCCTTCGTCTTCCAGGAACTGCTGACACACTCCAGCCACATGAGGTCTAGAATTGTTGTGCATTAGGAGGAACCCAGGGCCAACCGCACCCAGCATATGGTCTCACAAGGGGTCTGAGGATCTCATCTTGGTACCTAATGGCAGTCAGGCTACCTCTGGTGAGCACATGGAGGGCTGTGAGGCCCCCTAAAGAAGTGGCACCCCACACCATTACTGACCCACTGCCAAACTGGTCATGCTGGAGGATGTTGCAGGCAGCAGAACGTTCTCCATACCACCCTCATGGAGTCTGTTTCTGACCGTTTGAGCAGCCACATGCACATTTGTGGCTTGCTGGAGGTCATTTTGCAGGGCTCTGGCAGTGCTCCTCCTGTCCCTCCTTGCACAAAGGCAGAGGTAGCGGTCCTGATGCTGGGTTGTTGCCCTCCTACGGCCTCCTCCACGTCTCCTGATGTACTGGCCTGTCTCCTGGTAGCGCCTCCATGCTCTGGACACTACACTGACAGACACAGCAAACCTTCTTGCCACAGCTCACGCTGATGTACCATCCTGGATGAGCTACACGACCTGAGCCACCTGTGTGGGTTGTAGACTCCATCTCATGCTACCACTAGAGTGAAAGCACCGCCAGCATTCAAAAGTGACCAAACTATCAGCCAGAAAGCACAGGAACTGAGAAGTGGTCTGTGGTCACCACCTGCAGAACCACTCCTTTATTGGGGATGTCTTGCTAACTGCCTATGCTTTCCACCTGTTGTCTATTCCATTTGCACAGCATGTGAAATTGATTGTCAATCAGTGATGCTACCTAAGTGGACAGTATGATTTCACAGAAGTGTGATTGACTTGGGGTTACATTGTGTTGTTTAAGTGTTCCCTTTATTTTTTTGAGCAGTGTATATTGTTTTTTATCAGATAAGAGGAGCAACAAATAGAAGTTCTGTTCTTTGCTTGGAAATGTCTTCAGGATGGGATAAATGAGAATCATCTTAGAGTCCCTGTAAAAGAGATTGTGGGACCATATGGCTCAAATACTCTATTGACCCATCCCCATATGACCATAAGGCTGGTTTACTAGAATATTCCAATTGGAAAGAACTGATGGGAGTTACTAGTTGAGTGAGAAAACATCTGCCGGCAAACAAAGAAGCTTAGAAAGCATCAGGACTCCACATATCCTTACAGTGTTTGAAGAGCACTGTTGGCATGTAGCCTAAGATAAAAACCCTGCAAAAGTAGATATTGTAATAAATAGGAGGTTGGGGAAAATTCTTTTTGAAGAATTCCTCAAATTATAGAACATGACACTTAGCTTATACTTGACTGAAGTTCTGCTGGTTGGATTTGGGGAAAATGTGAAGGCTTGTAGAACCCTTATATGTAACAATGAATGTGCAAGATTGAATTTTCCAGAAATTTGCATCTAGTGAGAGAATTCTAGTGGAAACTTGCATGCTTGGTTGGTTTTTAATAAAAGTATTTGTAGATTCCAAATCATCAACAAATTCAGTTTTATGCTGCTGCTGGGATCCAGCCAGTTGAAACCAAACCTAATTTATTAAATGTATTAAAGTCATCTTTTTTAATGTATGGGATTATCTATTTAAAAACGTAAAATAGAAATAAAACAGTTCATCTTACAGTAAACTGCTAGGCCTGATGACCATACACACATACACAACAGGCAGCCAAGTCTTACTTCAGCACGCAGTTTCTGGTTGTCTTCTTCCAATGCTTTAAGTTTCTGCTGAAGAAGATCATATTGCAAACACTGCTGCAAAGAGAGGGAAGAATCATTCCTTCGTAACCTATTGGAGAGAAAATGGGACAATCAGCAGAGGAGAAAGGAGATGGAGCCATTAGCACAATTACAGAGCTTTGTACACAGAAAAGTTCAAGGTTTAGTCACTCCACAAGGCTAGAGAGCCACTTGTCCAAGAGGTTAGAGAGCCACTGCCAGTCAGGGTTTAATACAGGGTTTGTATTAAAGAGGGTTATTAAACCAACCATAGTAGCTTGATTCCACATATGAATCTTGGATTTATAGCATTTGGGTCCATACATCATGTCAAATCAGTGATTACAATTTTTGATTCGGTAAATGATGTTATTAAACATAACATGAACAGAATCCAATTTTACAATCATTGTTACTGTGGTCATTAAGCAAAACATGTGGTCATTAACCCATTGACTTTGCTTGTCAGAAACTGACTGTGAATGTCACAAATTGTGAACATGTGGACTACAAGACACTGCAACTGTCAAAGTAAGAACCGATTGCCAGACATCCAAATTGCAAAGTGGTCCCACAGTCCTAATTTTGGAAGGTGGTAATTTTTTCTGAGGCCGTTGTAAGTTCATACCATCATTAAATGGACATAAGTGAAGGATTACCTATAATCACTTTACAGCTGAGTAAGAAATTGACTGTTGAGAATTTCTGTCTCAGATAGATAGAACAGCTGCTTAATCCACTGCTTAATCTCCAGACAGGATGAGAGAAAAGGGGGGGGGGGTTGAGGTGAGAAGAGATGTTTGGACAACACTTTCCCACCTTCTTTCCCACAACTGAAATTGTTTACATTCTGACACTAATATTGCAATTGCACAGTATTTAATTTCAGTTACAGTTAAATGTTGTGGTCCATGGAACCCAATGGGGGTGGTGGTGAGAAGTATGGTATTTGATAGAACAACTACCTTCACTTGCAGCCAGCTAGCGGAAAATGATTGAAGTCAACATAAACCTGAAGGGAACACGTGGACGAAAGCTGCCTTATGCATTGTGAAACACACAAAGCATTCCAGTAATACAGGTTTCCACTCAAAGCATTCCAATAATACAGCAGACATGTCCGGAACTGTGAGCAATTACGTTGCTACTTTCATTCTGATGTTGTTTACATTTAGAAATACTTAGTTCTTAGTTGTAGTTGTAGCTTTGCTTTTATATTGCTGTAACCTGTTTACATCTAATACTATTTTTAATCACTTTACAATTTTACAGTTAGCTTATTCTGTTTTGTAGTACATTATATGATGATTTATGATCTATATTATGATCTATGGTTACAACAATAAACTTACTATTAAGAGAAATATTTTTTTTTATTTCTTTATGCTTGATGTGGCATCTCTCTTCACCTCTCTTGTTGGTTACATACAGAAAAAACACCACTAACTTCATTTCAAATATCACATTTAATCCAAATCTGATTATTTTGTACAAATTACGGTATCCTAAATGAATTGGAGAATTACTTTATGTCCCACCCTTTCTCCAAGTATTTCTCACTGATGTTTCTCTGCAAGGGATATGTTGGAGTGAGGATACACCCTACAACATTGTCTAAAGACTCACGGGGTAGAAATGATGGAAGTTGGCTCACTCTCTTCAGTGCTGTTGGTAAACATGTGGAGAAGATCATCCCGCATCGATATTTCATGTTTCAACTGAGCTATCTGGGTTTTAAAAAAACACAAAACATTAAGATAAAAAAACCTATAGATTAGATTGATTGATCTTTATAGAAATGACTTGTTCATATTATTATGGAAAAACAAAAGGCTGTGATTTGATGCTAATACCTTATTCTACTGCAACAGAGAGAGCCGGAAGTCAATGCTTCTTTTTCTTTCCTTTTCTCTACTTTTCCATCACTTTCTTTCCCCTCCCTCTTCACTGGTCTTTTATTTACTTTTTTATTTTGTATTTTATACTACTTTATAACTTAATAAAAATGTTAATCAGAAAAAATATACATAAAAAGCCCTTGACCACAATTGGGACCAGAATTTCTAAGTAAAGTGGTTGCAAGCAAATTGTCCCCATTTTACAATCCTTTTTACCTAGTTATGTAAATCACTGCAGTTAAGTGAATCATATGCAGTTGTTAAATGAGTGCAGATTTGATTTTATGACCGTGGGGATGCTGCAGTGGTCTAAGTGCCAGGACTGGTCATGAGTCACTTTTTTCCAGTGCTGTTTAAATGGTCAATAAATAAATGGTTATAAATTGAGGACTACCTGTACTCTGGCATGCGTACCTTGTACTAGCCCTACATATGTCATACATTTACTTGTTAAATCTATATTGTACCTTTTGTTCAGGAACACAGACTGATACAGCACTGCCCTCCTCTTTCCATTCTTCCCACAATACCACCTCTGCAAGTCAGGTTGCATCAAGAGAAACTGCCATAGATGAGTTGGCTCTTCCCAGGTGAGTTGGATTCCCCGTAGAGTCTAACACCCTATGATTCTGCTTTCCCCTAAGTGGAGCACCTCAAATATGCTGGAACTCCAATTTCAAGAATTTCTAGTCAGACACTGGGTGAGCAGCAGTTTGGAAATGGCTAGTTTGGAACACTGGACAAGGGGCTTGGAAGATCCACATTCAAATCCTCACTGACCATGAAGCCAACCATGTGATTTTAGCCAGCTGCTTTCTCACCTTAAACCAGGGATGTCAAACTCAATTTTATTGAGGGCGGCATCAGGCCTGTGATTGACCTTGGGAGGCTGGGTAGGCGTGGCCAACTGGGTGGGTGTGGCCAGCTTGACGCCACTCCCCAAACTGCAGCATGTTTCCTTTTCACATTGGGTAGACTGGGCCAAAGCTATCCTGGCCTGATCTTTCCTCTTCACATTGGGTAAACTAGGATGGCCCCACAAGCTGGATCTGATCACATTGCGGATCAAATCCAGCCTGCAGGCCTCGAGTTTGACACCCCTGCCTTAAAACCATGTACAAGCTATTGTAAGATTTATTGGAGATAGGGAAGAATAGAATGAGAAATCAACAAACTTCTAGGAGAAACAGTGAAATGAGATATAAGCAACAAGACATGGAGCTATAAAACTTTAAACCATCATTCATTTGCACACATTGGCATCCTTCATCTCAAAAGATTATGGTATTGTGTTCTGAAAAGAGGTCCAAAAACAGCATCTAGTATGGCTAAAAAGGCCAATTTGAGAGTGGCAATCCCTTCCACACTGACAGATTCAGTCTGTCCCCTATCCAGCCCCCAAATTTCGCTGGTTCTGAGATTGCCTCTGCCTCAGCCTCAGCCTGCCGAATGAGTGTCTCTTCGAATTGGAGAAGGCCATGTTGTGCTGCATAAACCATCATTCAGCTAATGTGGATATCTCAGAATCTGAGTCAGACTCAAATAATTCCTGACTTGATTCTCCAAATGTGTTTTTAAAAAACAAACTCGAAATCTACCATTCCCCAATACTTGTTTCTTCTGTTTAACAGTACATATGCAGAATAGACTTCTTCCTTACCTCTTCTTTTGCTAATTCTAACTGCTCTTCCAAGAACTCATTGCGTTCAGACAAACTCCGATTTTGTTTGAGCAATGTTTTCCCAATGCGAGCTGCTAACTCCAAATCATGTTGCTTCTGTGAGAACAGGGAAGACAAGAGAGCAAAGTTTCACCTTAAGGACTCTATCTCGTCACACATGCTACCTGGTTTCTAACATCATCACTTTCTCAACAACTTTAATTCTTCCAATGCTCGCCACTCCTAAATCAATTTCTTCTCCTCTTTGTGCCTTCCCCATCCACCCTAAACCAAGAACTTCCTTGTAGAATTTTTCCTGCCCATGCCATGTCATAAGAATCAGCTGTTAGGAAAGACCAAAACCACCTTGAGCTTCGTACTACTCTACCAAGCTGCACAATGTTTTGACTTAAGATTCTGAAAAAACAATTGGTGAAAGGTACCTCTTCCAGCAAGTTAGTGACCGCATCTATATCATGATATGTCTTGGTGATCTTCTCAACTCTCTCAGAACACATTACTATGAAAAAAAACAAAGAGAAGGAGAATTGAACATGGTACACATAAGAGGCACAGGCAGTTTGGAATGTAGATTGAGAGCCAGCTATGTGCGCTCACATCATGCCTTGAACATTTGGAAATGGATTCTATGGTGAGCACGGGCTGCCATTTATTGAGAAAAAAACAGCTCGCTCTGTAGACTTCTCTTGACCTCCCATGATGTTTCTGCAGTTAATGTTGCTAGGTAAGGGAGGTTGATGGGAAGTGGCAACTTCTAAAGAAATCACTGGAGTACAACCATATCATTTTTATTTTCTAAGTAAATTTAAATTAGATTTTAAAACGTGTTGGACAGTAGTACTCAGTGTCACAATATGTAAGATTTCAATTTTATTTTTAAAGATTTTTTTATGGGACCGGGAGCCTGGCAGAGATCCAAGGACATACGCACAGAACCCGATGTGCAAAATTCAATAATTTTTGAAAACGGTAATAAATATTCCATTGATGTGAAGATGTGGTGGAGTGTAGTCTGGGTTTTCAGGAAGAAGAGGCTGCATTCCAGAGAACCAAGAGACAGCAAAGTTTAGATAATTTGATTAGAAGAAAGAGGATCAAGAAAGTTCCTTCCTAGAACTTATCAGAGTATATCCTTAATGATAACGAAATAGTTGCTTTAGTTTAGGAAGATTTCTGTCTATAAGGAGCAATAAAAGAAAATTGCTTAGAAACAACTCTGCATGTATTACTTGGTTTTTGGAGACTGACAGAAGCAAATTGCAAATTGTTTAATGAACATATAATAAGAACATTTGAATTAATCTGCATTGTATATAGTAAATTAATCAATTGGAATGTCAGTAGGAACTTAGCACGTTTCATACCTATAATAGGTAAATATTTGTTTAAAGAAAACTAAAGAATACAAAAAAATAGAAATTCTTAGAATGTTAAGTTTAATTCTCACTGCTATTCATTCTTTTTAAAACTGTGGCCCACATAGCATAGGGTTCCACAAGAAACTAAGGAGAAAAAAAAAATCCATGCCCATTTTCTATCACTAGAGCTTTGCCCTTCGATCATTTTAACTAATAGGTTTCAAGGTCTGAAAAAATGTGAAAAGGTTTGTTTTAGGTCTGTGATTGCATGGCACAATTGTACATTGGTCAATTCACACATTAAGTCCTAATGGTTCACTTTGCTACATAAGCCCAGCACTGTAATTGGTAAACCATAAGATATGGCTTAGTATGTTATGTTAACATAGCCAATTATGTTTCATTGGAAAAAATACAATGGATGCAATGCAAAACTCAGAATGATCCACCTCAAATGTTCTTGAACCAGATTTTGCAGGTGAAAAATTCTGAAGGCCTTTTACATAATTTGCAATATTGTGTTTGCATCTCTGCAGTGCTATCTACGTAGAATGTTAATTCAGTTCAACCATTAGTATTTTAACAGCTTAAGAAAATATCCCAAGATAGTTCTAGTTCCAGATTTAAATATATTTACTGAGGGAGTAACTGATATATTAAATAAATTCCTGGCAAAGATAAATTTTGCTTTACCCTGCTGAACAAGCATATCTGTCTAGGCAAAAGTCACCTTGCCTCAAGCTGCAAAAGAAGGAATGGAAAAACACAACCAGAGTAAGGTTTGAAAAACACATTTGGGGGAAGGCTCAGAAAGCTATGCCATCTCTGTCCCATTTATCCTCCAAGGACAATTGTCAGACTCAATTAAATGTTCATAAATTATCCCCACCGCCCCAAGCAGAGTGTTCAAAGCTCCTTAACTCAGGAGAAGATCTGACTGTTTGTCAAAGAAAGCTAGGTAATTTAATGAGTTGTAGGCACAATTCAAGTAATATTTCAGCATTATCAAAGGCAATAGATACCCCCTGGTGGTTTCTAAAATGTTGAAGGAGCCTTTTATTACAAATTTCCAAAATCAAGCCGATTTTTAATATTCAGTTTATTAGCTAAATTTAAATCTCAACACAAATTCTTATAAAATAGAAAGGTCTTAAATGTAGATATATATAGATACACGCTCACACATGCACATTTTAGTCGCTTTTATTAGTTTCGTATGTAAACTTTATTTGGAAGCTAGAAATATTAGGAAACTTTTATACTAAGCCATATGACAATTCAATGTATGAATCCATCCCAAGAAAGCAATTTTGGGCGGCTACAATCTATAATTTGAAAACATGGTTTGCAAATCCTGACTCCCTGTAAAACGGCTTACTACTATAGTAGTCCTTAGTCAAAATACTAATAGGCTTTTCCATTCTCCATATTTCTTACAAATATTGGCAGAAGAAAAAGAAAACAAGCCACGAAATGGCAGGAGCAGCCATGGTTATTTTGCTCATTTGCAAGTCCGTCTTTGACCTGTGGTAAGCACAACTTTAAAATCAGAGTTTGGATTCCATCTCATTCACTATTAATGGCATAGGTTGGCATCATTTTTCCAAACAGAAATCTTTCCCCATAATAACTGAAGTTACAGACTGAATATAATCAATAATCTAATAATCTCTACTTTCCAGTTTATTTTAGCCTTTAAAAAAAAAAAAAGCAAAACCTTGCCACTAGACTGAGCTGAAAAATTTTGTCTAATTCTCCAACATATTGAAGCAGAATTTACTAAGGCTGTCATGTGGTCTTTTCAAATGCTGAATTCTGGCACTGAGATTCGGGAGGGAGAATGACCTGAAATTTCAGTTTTCATATCCAACACCCTACAAATCAAGAAATATTGGACTCAGGGCTCATGGGATTTACCTATTTAGCAATAACCTAAATAAGATCTCTCCTCCCCATGGCCAAACCCAGGGCTGGTTAATAGATTAGAAAGCATAGCTTATTACCTGTAGACATAAATCTGCTTCTTAAAGGTAAATAAGCCCAGTAAGGTACAGCATGGGATTACATAAAACATGACCTACCAGAACTTATTTTCCCTCTACGGTACAGTCTAAACTGCTAGACACCCCCTGTGGTAACTCCTTCCTCATGAGAAGGGTGGGCTGAGTAGCAACCTTACTATAGCATCTGTACTCCGACCCACTCCCTCTTGGTGGGAGTTCCTTCCTTTCATTCCTCAAGGCAGTTAAAACTGCAGTATTCCTGTGCTTGTTCAGCTCAGTTGTAGCCATTCATCCTGGAAGGTATTGCACTGATATTCTTATTATTGTCTCCATTTTGCTTTGCAGTTCGCCACCCAGAGGCTTACAGTAATTGATCGGAATTTATTAATATGGCAAAATTAAAATGTTCCTTATTTGATGAGCAGTAAGTGGATAAACAGATCAATAAAGACATTCAATCTCATTATGCTGTTCCCGGAGGTGGATGTTATGCAATATAGAGCCAAGTCACAGTAAAGTGGTTATGATTCTCAATCCTAGAGAACATCCTGTCCTATCTGTCCACTTGCTATTCTAACAAGTCAGCTAATCCTTCTTCCCTTTCTGCTTGCATGCTGATTGGCACAATCTTGAGCCAATCAGAGACACCACGACACTCTCCAGGTTGCATGTGTAATGACCTCCCCCTCGCTCCATAGGGGATCTGTATGGCATGCTAGCATCCAACTGAACCATAATTGAAAATAATTAGAGCATGAATGTTTTCCAGCAAAGTATGGATAAACAAAGAGCTATGCAACTTTTAAGAGGCTTTCTTTGCCTGGCTATTCCATGTGTAACATCTGTCTAACATAGGAGCTCTCCTATTGTTCTCTTTGTCTCTGCCCCAGAAGTTCAGATTGAAGAGGCAATTCAATCTTTTCTAATTCAGACAACAAGGCCAACAAGTTCAGTCTGGAAATAAAAATTGGGATTGCTGAATTGTTTAATGTTTCTGTCTCAGTGTCTTGCAAATTAATAACTACTTTATAGGGAATGCCACTTTTAATAGCATTCAGTAATTGAGACTAAGGATAGATAACTACCATGGACAGAAATTGCACTAAATTCAGTAAAAATGCTGCAGCAGAAGTCTATAGAACGAAGTTATAAATATGCTTTTAATTTCTTACTTTCCTGTTCCATCTTCATGGAAGGAGATAGTTTGCATGCTGCAAATATATGCTGCTTGTTACATAATTTGAGATTATGCTGTTTCAATAACAACGTAAACAGACAATTTATTATGGCCTTACTTTATCTGACCAATTTGTATGGACCAACCTCCCAGAATTCCACAGCCAGCTTGAATATCGCTCAGAACTCTGGGAGTAGAAGTCCACAAGAAACCCAAGCTATGGGAAGGCTGATTTACTATACACCTGGCTTCCCCAACCAAGTGTCCTTCCTGTTGGAAACTCAAAGAATTCCAGCCAGCATGATAAATCTCATTACATTGCAGGAGCACCAGTTTGGGGAAGGCAGCTTTAAATCATCTTTGGAATTCCTCCTATACAGCAATAAGAGGCATGATCTTACAAGGCTCTTGAAAGAAGTAATTATTTAAACATCACCTAAACCTCTGCCATTCTTTAAAATGCCACTTAAGGAAGTGATTATCGAAGAACACTATTTTATTAAACATTCCATCAATACCTGGGAGAAATATATATTTAGTTGAAACCTTAAGTCAGTAAAATGAAGTCACGTCTCGGGACAGAATTAGGCATTTAGCATTCTTTCTCAAAACTTCAAAAACTGACAATTCAGGTAGTCCTCAACTGACAACAGGTCATTTAGTGATTGTTTAAAATTATAACAGCACTGAAAAAATGTGATTTATTATTGTTTTTCACACTTATGACTGTTACAGTATCCCTCTAGTCATGTAGTCAAAATTCAGACACTTGTCAACTGCCTCATATTTATGATGGTTGCAGTGTCCCAGGGTCATGTGATCATCTTTTGCAAACTTCTGACTGTTGTTGTTCGCCAGCAGCCGGTGTGGACAGAAGCGGAATCGGACAGCAAAGACAAAAGGGAATCAGTCAGGGAATCTGATGAGGATTTGGATGAAATCCTGCATGAGATGGGGCCAG